AAACACTTCAGTGTAGACACTACCTGTGCCGACAGAAGGCGTTCTTCTGTCGATGTAGGTAATCCATCTGCCCGAGAGGTGCTAGCTAGGTCAACGGAAGAATTTTTCTGTCAATCTAGCACTATCTACATGGAGATTTAGGTCAGCTTAACAACACCACTCCAGGGTATGGATTTTAAACAGACCTAATTTTCTAGTATAGATCAGGCCTGAGAAAATTCAGAAGGACCTAAGAAACCTACGTAGTAAATATTAAGTGTTCAAAGAAATGCACATTGAAACAAGTGATCTAAAGTATTTCTGTACACTGGGTTCCAAATTAATCACAACCACTCACGTTAGAATCCTAAGCGTCACTTGGTTAGTTTGTGAAAATTTGCATGTATGTCAGGAAAGATGCTGTCTTTTGCAGCTGAACTTCCCAAGTTAGAATCAGCGTTTTTCTTGGAAACTGGCCTGAAATGCTCTCCACTACTTGTGTAATAATTAACATCTGCCTCCTATCTAGTCCCTTGTGAATCAGCTCAAGGTATGTAGAAGCTTTCAAATCACACTAGCTGGAATTCTAAACTGTGATGAGAATGGTGATGCAACATGCATTTATCTTTAGGGGAGAGATTTTTAAAATAAAAACCACTCCACTGGCTCATGGGTAAAATGTTTTGTATATTGTTGCCTTTTGCCAACCAACTGCTAAGTATGCTGAACCAGGTATGTGTAATGTATCAGTTCTTTTTCGAGTGTGTGTTTGTGTTCCACTTCTAGTGTGTGTCCCCCATGCACTAGAGATCACAATCTTTTGATCAGTCATGTCCTTTGGGCCAAATCTGTTCATTTGTGCCCTCAAGCCTGCATGAAGCATCAAGCAGATCTGAAATAAAAATGATCAGGACCCCAGACATTCTTATACAGTTCCAGGTCGTCTTTGACAGCTCGGAGTCCTCAGGCGAACAATAGACGATTATGGAGACTTTGAAATAGACCATTTCCTAAGCTGAAATTTTGAACATGTGGGCTAATGATATTGTTTTGATTGGATGTGTAACTCATTTAGCATTGGGAGAAGGACTTGAAGAAACTGCTTCTAATATTTCAGGGAGAAATGGTAGCTGAGGAGGATTAAAAGAATTTTAGAAACTTTAAATATTTTTCCTTTCCAAGCAACACGTGGCTTGGCTGACACCTAATACCTGGAAAAACTATTTACTACAAGAATTATTGTCAGAATGACTTTAATCATCCTGAATGTATCCAATGTGTGTACAGGATCCTATCTTTAGTATTTGCAGTCAGTTGTCTGGCTTCTTTAACTGTCTGTATGCCAGGGCACTCTGAGGAATTCTGCAGGCTGTGTCAGTGTTCTAAGCCACGTACAGTGTAACAGTTTTTGGTGTGAATGCTGGCACATGTGTACTCAAAACTTGCTTTTTACTCACATTTTATGTGAGTAAAACTCCTTCTGATGAATTCCTTCAAATTGAACTCAAAGGGGATGTGAGCAGAGCTGAAGCTAATTCATTAATAAATTCAGGTGGGCGCGCTCATAGAATACTTCAACCTGAACAACTTGATACTATTGTTCAAGCGTGAACAGGACGTCATCAGACCCCTGGGGCAGCAATTTTAGTGATCTCATAAAGGGTGTAGAAGTCAGTTTTAAAAAAAAAAAAAACAGAGAAATGTCAAATGTTTAAGTTTAAATATGGCCATTTGGCCAACTGTCGGAAGAGGGGCTGGATAGATGGGAGCTTTGAAAGAAAGACCCTTGTGTTTGTCTGTGTTAAATTGTGGGTGTGTAGGTGGTTTGTTTGTTTTTTTTAACTTAGATTTAATTGTTTATTGTTCAGCATCTTGGAACCCATCAATTCCACATTTGTTGAGCCGAATGTGTAACTTGGTCTCTAATTTTCCCTTATAAATGAGTGTACCAGGAGGTTGCAATCACTTGGAGTTAAGGTACTTTATAGATATATAATAATCCACCTGGATTCTCTAAATTTGAGTTTAAACTCTAACTCTGGGGAGTGACTCCCTTTTTCTCCCCCCTCCCCTACCCAAAACTGTTACTTTATGAGCTTTAATTTAGTGTTGTAGAATGAGTTCAGTAGCAGCTTATACCATAATATATTTTCCTGGTGACAGTTAGTTCTGGATATGATCCAGTATGAAGTACTTTAATCTGTCTATTATTCTTGAATTGTATAGTTAGTAAATTTAAACTCTCAATGCGGTATGCTGTGCGTGAATGATAACAGATTACAAATGTAAGTAATTCAGTCTAAGCTTTGTGCACAGGTGAACTCATTTGGAGTTGTGCACAGGTGAACTCCAATTGCTTAGTCTTGGGTCTTGTCACTTGACTAATCTTTCTGGAGAAAATTGTTTTTCTTCAATCTATATTCTTGGTAAACTTTGCTTTAACAGTTCTGGAAGGTCTTATTTCTGGCCGACCTAACATTTATAGACCATTATTCATAAGATTGGCCATGCCTTACATTTCAGAGTAAACCGAGGTAGTAATCCTGAAGTAGCTTGTCATACTTGTCATTGTCTTTCTTGATCTAACTCTTGACTTTTGTACTACTTCTGGAGGAAAAAGAGCAGCACTCTCCCCTTTCATATATTTTCATGTCCTTGTGTACTTGGCTATTTGGGAATTGGCTGCTGAATTCAACCTTCGCTGCACTGCTGTGTTCCAGAATTGCTGCTTTCCTTTCATTAAAAGGGAAAAAACGCTCTTGTGATTCTGAAGACAAGCTTATAACTGAACTGTGATGGCTATGGAACTTTAAATGGGGAGCCAGGAAACATGCATAAAATAAAGATAAGATACAAAAAGGGTAAGGAAGTGGGATAAGGGCTAAAACAAATACAAGTTATATTGTGAATGGGTATGAAATGGAGTGTTTTTAAAATTTTGAGCTTGAGTAACTGGGGAGAAAATAAGGGAACTCTGCAGTGAAAATCCAAGGAGAGGAAAAAGTCCATATTGAGGAGACAATGGAGATTATTCTAGGTATAAAGGGAAAGTGTTTAAAAAGGCATGAAAGGAAAAGTAACAGGGAGAAAGACAGAGCCCATGGCACACAATGGAGTAAGGAAAGTGCTGTGCAGAGCTTTAGTGTGAGAGTGAAGTGTTCAAACCTGTATCTTCCCACATAAATGTATGTGCTAGCTCAGGCCTGGTCTACGCCGGGGGGGGGAGGGGGGAAATCGATCGAAATTACGCAACTTCAGCTACGTTATCAACGTATTTAGACCTACTCACCGCGGTGTCTTCACTACAGTGAGTTTGCTGCTGCTCCCCTGTCGACTCTGCCTGCGCTTTTCACGGCAGTGGAGTACGGGAGTCAGTGGGAGAGCGCTCGGGGGTCGATTTATCGTGTCTAGTCTAGACGCGATAAATCAACCCCCACTGGATCGATCGCTGCCCCCTCGATCCGGCGGGTAGTGTAGACATACCCTCAGAGCTGTAGGACTAAGCATCTTAAACTTCATATACCTAAGTCTTTAGGGAACTGGGGGGCGGGGGAAGGGAAGCCATGATGTTTAAGTGGCTTACAATCTATAGTTCATCGGAGTTGTGAATGAATTGCCACCAAAGTATACAAGGCTTAAGATGTCAGCTAGCTAAAAGACTTTTATCACAGACCTATATCTACTTTACGTGGAGGTTAGAAGATGGCAGGGACATAGCATAGTGGTAAACAGGATCATAAGGTTTGGGGTGCCTTTACTCTGTGCATTTTATACTTTTCAGTGAATGTGTGCAGTGTTTATTTAGATTTGTTTTTCCACATACAGACCCTCCCCAGGTTACGCAAACCCGCACTTACGGAAAAAGTTCCGTAAGTGGGTTTTTTTTCGTAATTATCAGGTATACGTCCCCGACTTAGGCAAAATTCGACTTATGCAAGGCGTTTCGGAACGGAATGCTTGCGTAAGTCGGGGAGTGTCTGTATTGCCCCAGAATTGTGCTTGGCACTACTGACGTTAGGTCTCTTTCCCCAAGGAATGGGTAGTCAAAGCATACAACAGAATTGTGAAGAGTCAGAGGATGTTATTTGCTACGTATTCATAATTAGGCTTCTCGGGATTCAGTTTGTCAATAAATGTTGGTAAACATGGATTTCAGCTGAGACGCTGAAATTGATTCGGGGGGGGGGGAGGATCAATGGGCAGCAGTCAGCAGGCCTGTGGGGTTCAGGTGGCACCAGCCCTGGGGCAGCGCAGGAAGCCCTCTCCACCTCTGCTGTCACAGGAACGAGTGGGTTCATGACAGTGGAGTTGCAGAGGGCTCCCTGTGCTGCTGCAGGGTTGGTGACACCTGATCCCAGTAGGCACAAGATGCAGGGAAGACTTGCAGTCCTGGGTGGTGGGGTGGGGGTTGTGATGCCAGGTCAGGACTGCAAGGAGAAGGACAAGTCCCTGGCCCTGGAGGCGGCCAGCCCACTGCAGAATGGCTGTTGGCCAGGAACAGCCATTCGGCAGCAGGTTGGCCTCCTCCAGGGCCAGGACTCATCCTGGGGGGAGGGAGGAAGAGAAGGTCTCTGCTCCTCTGGGCCAGGACCTCAGCCTTCTGATGTCATGGGCCCCACTGTTGGTGCTGGGAACTCCCCACAGCCCCAACCTGACCTCCCCCCCAGCTAGGAGAAAAAAACCTTAAATAAGAATCAGTACTGATTGTCATAATTAGAAAAAAAATAAAAAATCTAATTCTGCCAGCCCTATCCATAAACTCTTAAGAGTCTGGCCCTGAACTTTATATATGTGAGAATAATTGATTAGTGCCATGCTGAGAAAGGAATATACATAGCTTACAGGAAGAAGAGAAGGATTTTTTTGTTTCTAGTAGGTAAGCATACAAATAAAATACTTCACTGCAATAGCATTTTGGGGGGGGGGGGGGAATAACTCAAGTTCAGGCTAGGATATTATGTTTTACACGTGATTATCCTTCACTTTGTGGAGTTCTTAACCTTCTTTTTTTTGTTTTCCAGCTCCCTGCAAATGTTCGTTAATAGCACAACGAGCAGAACTGTGGATAACCATGAAAAACTATCAACAAGCTCTCCATGATGCAGATGCACTCTGCCAAAACAAACCCCTCTGGCCCAAGGTACGGTACTCTCATGCTTCAAAGACGGAAATATGTATCAGGGTCTCTTTGTGGTGAGGACAGAACTTTTCCAGGTCACTTTTGGAAGGCTATTTTGGCAACCAATGGCTAGAAACTTGAATGAAAGCTTAAATTCTACATAAAACAACAAGGTCTGTGGTGGAACCTTAAATCTGTGCTAGTGCATGGAATTGCTGTGGCGTGAACATCCATTGGTCCTTCATGCTAAGGTCCACTGATCTGTTAAAATGGGTACATTGGCATGCTTGGAGACAAAACTAGACTTGTCAGTCACTGGCAGTAGGGGAATGCTCCACCTCCTGAAATTCCCTCTAGGTTTGTTTTTTGCCCCAGTGGCTCAACCAGCCCTCTACACTGTATCACTTTTCTGAGGAAAATGCTACATTTATTTCAAAATTTTTAAACTCAAATTTGGTTCAACAATGTGTGTATCTAAATCTCAGACATGACCCATGGCTGCACTTTTTTGGGGGGGTGGGGGGGGAGGGGAGGGAGAAGGAGGTTAGACACTGGAAAGAAATACAGGTTATATGGTACAGGTTATATGGCAAATTTTGAAGCAGTCCATTAAGTACAACAGGGGAAAAACTAATGCCTCTTTGCAAGTGATAGGTAGAACAAGTGCAGCATCAGAAGCCACCCACGCTTGCCTCAGATCTATCTGCAGGTCTCCCAACTACCCCTATCTGAAGTTGAATCCCCACTTTGAACTTTAGGGTACAAGAGTGGGGGCCTGCATGAGGACTCCTAAGCTTATCTACCAGCTTAGCTTTGGTCCGCTGCCACCATCACAAGAACTCCCTCCCTGGGAAGCCTTGAGAAACCTTTCACCAATTCCCTGGTGAACACAGATCCAAAACCCCTTGGATCTTAAAACAAGGAGAAATTAACCATCCCCCCTCCTTCCTCCCACCCTCCTTTCACCAACTCC